AAGATGTAATTATGATGGGCCTGTGTTCAGGATTGAAAGGTAGCTGCCTCTTATTGGCAGTATTTGTTCTTCAGACCCATTTCATTACTTGGGGGTTTGCTTACCACAGCAAAGAACCTGTGTTCTGTCGTGTGATAAATATGAATGCAAATAGAGCCAGTCTAAGCCACAAATCTTGTTACGTGCCAGTTAATTTACCGGAGTTTGTTTTGGGAGGTGGGGCAGAAGGGATGCTCTTGGGAGCAGTAGAATCGTGGGAAGGAAATGTTTGCATGACTTCTCCAAAGTAAATTTGATAGAGACAAGAAGAAAAGGGGTTACTCATTTCTTACCCTTGGTTGAGTTTTCACTTTACCTGCTGTCATCTACAAATAGAAAGAATCAGTTGACCAAGACTTTGCCCACAGTCCTCCACAGTAGTGGTTTGCTTTCCACAGTGGTGCTACTAGAGATTTTAAAAAATGCAAGGTAGTGGGTGGGTGTGTAAACAGGGAGCAGGCTTTTTCCTTTATACCAGTGGCTGAATTCTCAATTCTTCTCAAACTGTAGTTAGAAGGGAGTGTGGAGATAAGCCAAGGATTGGCCAGAGTATTTTGGTTTTTCTTAAGATGGAATATTTCTAGAGGTCTATGCTCGTGTTTAGTGTTCTTGTATTAAGTGTCATATGTATGTGACCTGTGTGAAACCTGTGTTCTTCAGAACCTAGTTATTCAACAGCTTCTGGCCATCCATCTCCCTTTACAGATTAGCAATCTGTGTTTTGCTTTTGTTTCTTTCTGAAGCAAGTGTCTTCTCCTCCAGTTCCTGGCTCTGTTCATTCAGTGTTCCCATTGCATTGGATTCTGAATATCTTGTCCCCTATTTCCTGTGTATCGGATGCTTGTCTGTAACAAAAGAATGGGATACTCTATTTCACCATACAGAGGTTGAGAAAAAGTTGCTTTTCTGGGCTTTCTCAAAGACTGCGTAATGTCCAGTGATATGTTGAGTCATTATTAGGATAATTGTGGAGAAGACTGAGGAAGTGATGAAAAATATGCCAAAGATGATACTTTCTCTAAAGTAAGAGGAAATAAAATTTATAGAGAACAATAGGACAGGCTCCTGTATCTTGCTTTCTGTTTCTTTATATGCAGGTTTCTTTTGTAATTGGAATCATATTCAGGTGGGATTTTTAGCAGCTGGTTATAGTGGCGACTCAGTCCTAAAGTCTTTCGAGGCAGATGATTAGTGTATAGGGAAATGCCTGCTCTATTCCAGTGGGGTATGTATGGGTCCTGGTGATTCTTCCATGCATGTTTGCAGGGAGACTGTCTTTTAGGGTTTTTGACAGTTCCTGTCTCTGCTTCCCTTGTGTTACTCGGAGTCAGAGTGAGTATGATAGCTGATTTGCACTGGCCTCAGAGGCATTTCAGGCAATTTAGCTACAGCTGGAGAGGCAGCTGGTGAGAACACAGCTTCCTGATCTAGTTTTGAACATTTTTGGCAGAGACTGACACATAAGCACCCAGAGCACGGGTTTTTGTTATAGGACAGTATCATCTTCAGGTCATTACAATTTAAAAAAGAAAAGAAAATGTTTTGGTACAGAATAAAACAATCTGATTAAACTTAAGAAATCTTTTCTAATGCAATTTTAGCCTAGTTTATGTAGAAGGGACTAAAAGGAGGTTGCCTGTTCATGTAGCTATTAGAGTTGCACAAAATGTTTTGCCATCAGGCATTCAGAAAATTCCCTATTTGTGGGTGTAGTAGACCTGTATAAGGTCTCACAGTGTCAGGGTTCTGTTATTGCCATGCTCTTACTTCAACAGAGGCAAGGGTCAGCCTGAAATTTGACATTGCTGTGGCTTCCTGCAGGAAACAGTGAAAATACTGCTCGCTTTTGACAGCCACTGTGGAGAGAATGGACAGTGTAGCTGTTGACAGGCTTGAAACTGTTCCAGGAGGATGTGTAACTTTTGTTCTCCTCTGAAGCAATTATTTCTGTTTTCCCCTGTTCCAGGCCTAGATAGTGCAGCAGCTTAAAAGCTATAGCTGTTTCTGAGCAACACTGGTCTTGGTGTTACCCTGTCTTCATGCTCTGTAACGAATGCCCAAGTATGATTTAAGGGGATTTATTTTGCTGCCTGGTTTCTTAAGTTCCTCCTTCTGTTTGCCTGTTACCGAAGTTGAGGCCAATAGCTACTTAGATTTAGTTAGAGGAAAAGCTATAACCAGAGGCAGAGACTTCTCAGCTGACAAGGGTCTATTTAATTCACTCTTACCTGGCAGCCCACAAGACACTGCAGTTTGTGCTTTTGATGCTGTGGTTGAAAATACGTCTCTACTGTTTGCTGTCTGTTATTACTTCACACAGCAAACCACTGCTCCTAAACTACAGCACAGCAAAGACTAAGGCAAATCTATCCCCGTTTCTGCAGTCAGACCTACAGTTCGGGTATAACAGTCTCTCAAGCTGACATGCTCATGGCAAATAGAAATTGAAAGAAAGTCTGATGCCCTGGCAAACTGGAAATGCATTTCTTCCAAGTTTGTTGGGTCAGCATAGTGTTGGTGATGCAAGCAAAACTCAAAGGAGATGTCTTGGGAAGGAAAATATCACAGCCAGTGATCTTTGAGGCATCTTAAAGAAAGAAATATGAATATTGCAGTTTCAGCTTCTCAGATGATTTATTGTTCTTCTCCCCTGTAAGATGAATGAACTCTTCCTGAATTAGTCTGGGTGACACTTCCTCCTTTTGTTTTCTCTAGATCTTTCAACTTCAGATCTGGATTAAAGCTTCATCTTCGAAGTGATAATCTTTGGACTACGTCATGTAATCCATACTGTTCCCTTACTGGTATTTAAAACTATGACACCAAGAATAAAAAATGAAGTACGTCCTATGTTGTGAGAATGAATGCAAGCATGTTGGGAACCTTTGTAAAGAATGTCACTTTACAAGAGGAGAAAGACAGTGAGTGATATTACTCAGGGAACCCCTAATCTGTTTTAAAGCTTTACTTGTTTTTCTGTGATGAGCAGGGAGACAGATAAAACACAGGGACTTGTGCTCGGTTCCTGGCGCTGGACCCGAAATGGCTAAAGGTTGATATAAATCCTTAGTAAAGTCTAAGCTTAATGAAACACGCACGGATGTGGTGCCTATTGACTCTTTTAGTGGACCTCTTATGATGAAGAGCACAGTTAACCTTTAGATCTTAATTTGTGTGTGGCAGTGGGTGAAGAACAATCTTAATCCCATGCCAATATAAAAATGTGGAAAATAGGAACTGTGCCTTGTTGTAATAAAGCCTTTAATAGTCATTTGCCAAAGGAAAAGGGAAACCAATTTGGAACTTAAGGTCTGTGTAACTGGCTTTGAGCTGTGTTATAGTCAAATAAAGGCAGGGGAGGAGGGGGATTTTAACCCTGCTCAACCCTGTAGTTACCTAATCAGTGAAGCAGGGAACAATCAAAGTAAATGCAGATGTAACTAAAAATATTTCTCTGAATATGTTGCAGTATGGATGGTCTAGTACTTAGCTGAGATTACAGTGGTTTCAAACACTGTTTTGTTTAAAGTCACCAGATCTTTGAGAATTACTTAATTTTTAATGACTACAGGAGGAATAACAACATGAAGTTTGAACCAGAGACATGATCTGACTTTTAAGAACAAGAAAAATAGTCAATTGACTGACTGAGACTAGTTGGGTATCAAGAACAAATCTTTACATTGTATTGCAGGGGCTTTGGCCTTGGTGCCAACATAAATATGGGTGTCTCTCTAACAGCAGAATTACGTTGGATTAGTCTGTGCTTTTTGGAAATTTATGATACAAAATACACAGTCAGTTTTATACTTCCCTGTTTTAAGAAAATAGTTAAATGTTGAACTGGGCACTCCTTTCCTCTGAGTGTTTTGAAGAGAACTGAGGTCTTCTCTTTCTAAAAATCTTCTCTCATGTTTGTAATTTGGTCAGACACAGAAGTGATCCAGAAGCTGAGCTGCACTCGCTGAAATGTTTCAGATGGCTGTGCATGTCTGAACAGAGGGTTGCAGCTACGTAGTATTAATTTTGGCTGCTCTTAGGCAATGCTGAAGTTCCTGTTATTTGCACTGGAGTCCAGTAAACAACTTGCTAGTACTCAAGGCAGGTGTGTAGCACGGTGAGTGAAGGAGCATCTAGTTAATACTGAGCTCTCTGACTTTTCAATGGCTTTATCCTCTCACTTGTGCCTTTTTCAAGTTCCACCAGGAAGTGAACTTTAACTTCTACTAAAGGGAAGGGAGTATGGCAAGTATGGGGGAAGAGAGGGCAGAGGCAGTAAATACTCAGGCAGACACATGGTGCTACTGTGTCCCTCTCTAACATTCACGTGAATAAATGATTTTTTTTTTCTCATGTTGTCTTTCATCTCTGATGTGATAATTAAATACACTCAGCATGTTCTGACAAATCTGAAATGCCCTTTGGTACAGGCTTCTGCAGTTGAAAACCTTTTGTTTTGGAAGTAAACTGTTCTGAATGCGTGTGTTCGTGACTTCTCTCAGAGGTCTGATACTAGGTTGTCATCTTTAATTACTTTTCTGTGTTCTATCTTCGTTCCTTCAGAATATTGTCTGTAGTAGGCCCAGATCGGTTTCTAGTATGTCTGCACAAATCAATTCTTTTTTTTGGGGGGAGTCTGCAGAGAATGTGAATTATTGCAGTGAAACAACAAAGGACCACAAGCATGAAACTGTTTGCAAACTAATGATGATTATGACCATATATGTGCATATTAAAGTGCATTTTCTACCAGGAAAAGTTATTGTCATGCAGGTTTTAGCACTGTGAGTTAAGTGTTCCTGTATTTAACTTTCCTTTTATGTTCACTTTAAGATTACATGATGGAATTCACATTTTCTCAAGAAGAGCTGCGTATCTTGGATCAGTACCGTTGAAGATACCTTCTGATTGCAACACCCGAAGCAGGGTCCTTTAACAGATTCGTCGAAAGACCATATACAATGGATCTCAAAGAGAGCTGCCCAAGTGTTAGCATTCCCAGCTCTGATGAACACAGAGAGAAGAAAAAAAGATTTACCGTAAGTATGTAAGAGTGGAAGCACTGTAGGTGAATGAACAGGCCGTTAGTGCTACTTTCTTTTTTTTTTTCACTAGTAAGCTTGGTATTATTTTCAACAGGCTTGTGGAAATGTGTTCACTTGCTCTTACGAGTACTGGCCGTAGTCCAGTGTGAGAAGTTGTGAATGTTTTACAGTGTTGAACTGTCCTGCCTTCTGCAAAGAGTATTTGGCTTTGCAAATTTCTGGTGGTTTTACCCCCGAGGGGCAGCATTTTCTCATATATAAGTGTCCAACTGCAGGGATTACATTTCGGTACCAAATCAGATTAAAATTTGGTATCCTACATGATTTTTCATGTGGTTTGGGTTGGTTTCTGTTTCTTGTTGGTTGTTTGATTTGGGTTTTTTGTTGTTGCTTTAATGGCCAGTTTTTTCACGGGTAGCTTATTATACTTTTGTGTGTGTAAAAGAAAAAAATACCAAATTTTTGAAAGACTTTTTTTCTGCCTTCCTTCCTGTTTTCTGATTGTAAGTTTTTTCCTATCCTGTTCCCATTTCCACTCCTTGTCATTCCCCTCCCTCTTCTTTTTTTTTAACTCCCAAAATGACTTGCTTCTTTCTGGAAGTAAAGTCCTCCCATTCTGTGGGGAAACTCTTTACATTGCATACTGAAAAATAAAGTACTGTGGCATGGATTTTTGTTTTGCTTATATTTATGCTGGGATATAAATACAGCATCAATACTTCCTTCAGAAAGCTCAAGCTGTTTCATTGCTCTTGTGCAACTTCCTCTAAGCTTCCCCCCCCCCCCCCCTTTTTTTTTGATA